CGATGAAACGATATTGCTTTGGCACGTGGTCCAAGAAATCATTATCATACATTTTCATAAGTGAACACAAATAGTTAAACTTGTCAAATATCATGCTGGACCTCCGTGATAATACAACACGAATGCAATGTTAACACACGTGACAAGGATGTAGAATATTTCAAAATAATAATAATAATAAAAAATTAGTTACTTACCTTACAACAAACAATATTATTCGTAATATATATTATATGAACTAGCTTAGGGTGACCATACGTCCCGTATTATACGAGATTGTCCCGTTTTTCCACTTTGTGTCCCGTTGTCCCGACAAAAGTTATACGGGACGCATTTTGTCCCGTATTTTCAAGTAGGTCCCGTATTAATCCCGTTTTTCTCTCCATTGTTAATTTATTTTTTTTTTATTTTTTTTTATTCTACGATATTTTTGTATCACAATATTCAATAGAACATCTAATCTATACTTATCAGCATTATTTTTAGATTCTTGTCTTGACAATAAATTATTATAATTGCTGTTATTTGTATTTAAAAACTATTATACAGCATACAATTAATTTGTTTTTTTATATTAATATATTAATATATTTAGTTAAAATTAGAATTTCCTTTTTTTTTTTTAGTTAAGTAACTATAAAGTGTCCCGTATTTTTATTTTATTTTTATGGTCACCCTAATTACTAGCTGTCCCGCCCGGCGTTGCCCATACCGTAGATTTTGTTTTTTTCAAACATTTGGTGAAAAAGTGTATAATATACCATGTTCCTACATATCGATTAACACTCTTTTGAATATTGATATTATAATTGTATTATGATAATTGATAAGTAACCAAACAATGGCGATCCTATAAACAATATTTTTTTTTCGTGAGTAGAAAAAATATTCACGTATAAGCTCCTTTTCAGCTACCTGGGTGGGTATAAAGGCAATAACAAAATCTTTGAAGTATAATTATCCTACGAATAGCAAGGAATTTATTGGGATGACATTTTATTGAAAACTGTCCAGTACTTTTAGTCTTTTTACTCACCAACATAGCAACCAATGGCACCATTGTATTTATATACAAAAATCCAATGGAAAGAGTCTAATCTGTCGACTCGTTCTCACGTGATATAATTACCAACGTACACAATTTAATTTTCATTATAATATTAAGTAATCAACACTTTTAATTATATTTTAATAGAAACTTTATATCTTTTGATATAAACAGTAAAAACGTAATTCTTTATTAAACTGACGTCTTGATAAACATTTTCAATCGTTTTGAAACAATTTGTCACCTCTTTAAAGAAAATATTTTGGGTTACTTATTTGTATTATAATTGGGGATGCTAATAAATTTTTTTTTTTTTTGGGGGGGGGGGAATCCAAGTCACCATTTAATAATTGCTTCTTTGATTTGCAAACCATATGTTCCACTACACTTTGATTAGTACCCAATCACACTTAATATCTTGGTTCATTTAAATAATTAATTCTTCAACCACTTACAGGAAGATCAAGACTGGGGCTTCGTTGCTATGGTGCTCGACAGACTATTCTTGTGGATATTCACGGTCGCTTCCATTATGGGTACAATTCTCATCCTGTGCGAAGCACCGGCGCTCTACGACGACACGAAGCCAATCGACCGGGACCTGTCGTTCATCGCTAGAAAACAATTTTCCCCAACGTCCGATTTGGAATAGTCCGTATGACATTAGATTTTAATTTTCATGTGCAAACGAAAATTATCATGGCAATAAAATACAGCTGCAATGACGGACCTCGGCGTTAAACGGTTGATGGTTATTTTAACGAGTGGTTAATATTAATACAACATTATTGTTAAAGTGTCTCAGAAGTTTCAGGCTATGGATTTTTTACCGTTAAAATATATTATGCACCAATTTCAGTTATAGGAAAAATTATATTATAACAAAATATGGTGTTTAAAAATAAATCATTAAACGCTTTTCAATAGCGCAGTACTTTTTAAAAATGTACAACGTTACATTTAGATAAAAAAAAAACTCATTAATTTTTTTTATTTTAAATTCAATCTCACATTTTCGTATTGGTTTTGTTATCTATTTTTTAAAACGTTTGTAGTAATATTATGGTAGGCAATAATTTGTTTATTTAAATAAATATTATATATACGTTTTTAAAAATATTTCCATGTTATTGTTGTACATAAAATAAAATACAATCGTTGTAAGTATTAATAATAATGTACACGCTGTACACAACAAGAAATTGTTATTTCTAAGTAACCACTAACCATATTATGCAAAACATAAAATAATACTTTTTATGAATAAGATATAGGTAGGTAGGTATTATAGTTGTAATATTTATGTGCACTATTCGCAAACAATTTATAATTTCAACAGGTTTTTATACGTACGGATTTTGAAGTATATTTTTTTCGTACTAATAATAAAAAAAATAATTTAAACTGTAAGCTTGAAATTAAAAACCAATAACATTAACAAACAAATTATATTATATTTCTGCTTCAACGTTCGACAGCTTGAAGTATAATTTATAAATTGAGCACAAAACGTAGGTAGATACAAAAATATTTTTACAATGAAATTAATATTTTTAACCGTAACCGTGATAAAAACTTACTGGAATGTACCACTCCTACCGCATAAATGTCTAATAAAAAGTGGAATTTAGCTATATTAATAACTCCTATTATTAATCTTCTATTAATAACTCTAATACAAGATCTCACTGAAAACGATTAAAATGAGATCTCGTCCTAGGTCTCGATAATCAGTATTTTATCGTTGGATTTAAAATGTAAAGTGTCGCCACTTTCTGTAGATTATACAAGTTTTCAAATATCGTTAACAGTTTTGTTAAATCAACATTTTGTTTAAATTGTCAAAACTGTATTTAAGTAAACATAATATGGAAAAACCCAGTGGCAGTCAGAACAAAGTTTGGTGAGATCTCATGTATAAGGGCTCATTAAGGTCAGTAAGAGTTAAATCATTATCAGAAACAGAACTATCGGAATAATATGGAAATATTTAACTATTTATTTACCGAAAACTCCCCAAATATTTTGAAATAACGTCACAAACATTCAAAACAATTATTGTTTAATCTATCTTTCTCAATTAAAGATATTATTAAACTTATATTTTTTTAAATATACACGGAAGCAACGATTTTTTTTAAAATTAAAACTAAAGTCTATTCATATGCTAGACAATTAAAATAGCACGATACTTGATACTTTGCCTATGTGAGGAAAATATATGATTTATAAATATGTTTTGCGGGGCAGGTTTATCACGGAAACAATAAAAAATGTTAAAACGTTACGAAAAACGTTCAGAAAAAAGTCGTTGTCTGCCCAAAAAAATATTTACTTTAAAATAGCAAAAATGAGTAGGTAATAACTTTACTATCGCGATAACGTGCGTATCATAAGTCGGTGCATAATGTGCTAGTATTATCGTAGGTATCTAATTAAAAATAAAATGTAATTATCGCGGTACGGCGAAAGGTCATGATAAATAATTTGAGGAATCGTATTAATAATTATTATCTTTGCTAATTGTTCCGTGTACAATAATAATAATAATAATAATATAGTGACTTATCCTTCTAGGTGAAATAGTAAAAAGTATAATATTATGTTGACCCTGTGTGCGACGCTCGTTCGATCGATTTCCATAATATTATTAATTAGGCACCGGGCCAAACGTAGTCGTTTCAAATTGGTTTTAAAAAATAACAACCGTTTTCTATACCATCTTCGGTTTTTTGGCAAGTGTCCGCTATTATATACTATTATTCTCTATCTATGTTAACTAACGGATCAGTTGACCTCCAAGCTTCTTTGCACGCCTCAGACACTCTGTACCACTTTTTCAGACATAATATAATAACATCTTACTAACATGGCAACGACGATTACAATCGCTATACCGTTATAATACCGTAATAATTTTACAGTGGAACTCATCTAGTAGTAACATATATTGTATAATAATGATTATATTATGTATGCTCTATGGGTCTGTAAGTTATTCTGAAGAACACGCGCACGACTCCCGAGGAGCTTAACAAATTGTCGTAGGAAGTCGTTTTAGCTTTAACAGTTTTCATAACGAATCGCCGACGACTCAGAATCCAACATTCTGCAGTACTGGTTTTGAAAATGATTTTACGGTACATTTCAACCACTGTACATTCTATACAGTGGTTCAACGAATTTAATATTATGCATATTTACTCGATGACATCATTGGCACGATGTTAGGATGGTTCTGTTGCTAAGGAATGAGACGAACAATTTTTTTTTTTTATTTTAAATTTAATTCCTGTCTGTAGTTAATATCCTGATTCCGAATGTACAATATATTATTATTATTATTATTATTATTATTATTATGTATTCAAGTTCTAGTCAATATATTGTCAGTCTAAAATATTGTTAGTAAGCACTTTCTAAAACTACACAATGCCAATGTCACCAATAATTACTGTCAAACTATTTAGGAACTAAATACATATATAATTAATATTATGTATACACATATTTTGTTATGGTCTACATTGCAGAATATTTATGTTATATTGTATTATACAAATTCAACAATATATTGTGTCTTGTCTTAGTAATATGTTAAATTTTTAAAAATATCGTGTTTGGATTGTTAATTTAAATTTATTTTAAGAACTTTCATTATGCTCAACAATAATTATAATAATATAAATGTACAATACATCATGTTTATAAACAAAGCAACATTTTTAACATTTATTTTTTTCTTTGCGGAACATCAACTACATAAGTATAAAAAAAATTAAAATGTGAGACGTATGATGATCGCTAATAAAATAGATTATTATTACTCAATCAATATTTATGTAGTATACGACACTAATCTATAAATTAAATAAATCTACATATTTTTATATCATAAATTAATATAGGTATAATATCCAAAAGTGTTTTAAAATTATCTATTACTTCAATGTTTCAAGTTTCGTTAACTGAGCTTTCTACATTATTAATCAAACGAACAATGGAAATTGACTCAAATCGCAGACAATGATATCATACACTAATAATTATAACTTTATACAATCGATTTCAACATAACTAACCTATAACTAGTTTAAGTCTTTTTATTTAGTTACAAACTATACGCATAATACTTATCGCATTCAAAATTTTAACTAATCGGTCTCAGCCAAGTCGATTTGACCAAATCAGCTCCTTTCTCTCCGATCATATATGCTGGTGCTACAGTGTGAGCTCCAGTAATCGAAGGCATGATCGAACAGTCGATGACCCTTAGCTTAGAGACACCGTAAACCATGAGTTGTGGGTTGACCACAGCGTTTCGGTCGACCGACGGTCCCATCTTCGCGGTACAGCACTGATGGTGCATCTGCATGGTCAGTCTTTTTACACAACATTCCCAGTATGCGTCCGATCCGTAAGTCAGGTGTCTACATCCTGGCATCGTTCGCAGACTCATGGTGGAGCCCAATTTTTGGAAAGCCGGTGTCTTGTTGAGTTCTATGACCATTTTTATTCCTTCCACTATACGCAGCACGTCGACGGGGGCGTCGAAAAAGTTAGCTCTTATCAATGGTTTCGAATAAGGGTTGGCGTTCCTTAATCTGACCTGTAATCACGAGACAAAAAAAATATAATAAACAAAACAGTATTTAAAAGGCATATACGATATACAGCCACACTCAGAATAAAACAACAATTATGAGGTTTTGCGTATGGATAATAATATTCGGCATACTTGTCCTGTGCTCTCTGGGTACATGAGCATAGTCCATATCGACCATCCGTCCTTGTTGAATATGCCTCTGTGCAAATCATAATGTGTACTGTCCGGTATTCCCATGCTTCTTCTCAACAGGCTGTTTCCCAATCCTTCTTCGCCGGCCAGAGACATCGGAACGAAAATGTATTCGATGTCTGGTACGTCGCCGGGATCCTTGTTGTATTTTGTTTTCACGTATCCGAGTCCTTCGCAGCCCATGGTCGTGAGCCAACCAGTACCGTCGTTGAAATTGAAAAGCTCGCGTATCCCTTGCTTGTACAAACGTTCGGGTATTAATCCCACTGTCTGATTGACGGTAAACGCCAAATTCGCGTATGAAGGATGCTCCTGCAAGTTGTCACCAACGCGCAGGTCGCTTATAGTGTTTATTCCCAGTGGTTCGAGATGTTCCTTAGGCCCGATGCCCGACAACATTAATAATTTTGGTGTGTTGAAAGCGCCCGCCGACAAGATAACTTCTTTTCTGGCTCGGGCTCTTCGTCTCCTGTTATTCTTTTCGAATTCCACGCCCAGCGTGACCTTAGTGTTTGGATCGATCAGTATTTTTGTGACGAAAGCTCCGTCGACGATGTGCAAGTTCGTCAGGTTCCCACGAAGATACGCTTTGGCCGATGTGACCCGTCTTCCAAAGTTGATCGTACCTTGGATTCTTGAAAAGCCGACGTGGCTATTTGGGTCGTTGTAGTCCACCACGTTTAAACCAACTTGTGGCGCGGATTCAAGAAACGCATCAACCAGTTTCGATTTGAACGGTGAATAACTTATTGACATTGGTCCACCCACACCGTGGTACGGAGATCGTTTTAATTCCGGAATAGACACGTCTTCGTTTTTCAAAAAATACGGTAAAACGTCCCGGTATGACCAGCCGGGATTTCCCGCTTCAGCCCAACGGTCGAAGTCTCTTACGTTGCCTCTGGTGTATATGTTGTTGTTGATGATCGTACTGCCACCGAGACCTTTACCTTGTGGCCATAGACATCTTTTGTTGACGACGCCTTGACAGGCGTTCGGTTCCTCTTCGGTTTTGAAAGCCCAGTTGAAGTCTGTAAATTGAAAATAATGGGCTATGGCCGGAACTGAAGTGGCCAACGATTCTTGTCTGCCCGCCTCCAGCAGTAATATTTTCCATTCCGGTACTTCGGCTAGCCTCCTGGCAACCGTAGCACCCGACGCCCCCGATCCGACCACGATAAAGTCGTATTCGTCGAGTATCGGCCGATTACCGAACAACGGGTCTTCTCGAAATTGTATAAGATTTGTACGGTAACGTTCACCAAGGTACGACAGTGCGTTTAAATTTAATGCCAGACACTGCTGAATAGAAATGAGCCACGTGGTGAATACTAAAAACGCCGATACCTCCATGTCTGTCGTAGTGTGAACTCGTGCGTATATGAATTGATCTGTAAGTCATTCAAGGTAAAATGTCACCCTGCAAAAATAAACATAATTATATGAGCGTTATGAAAATTAAAATAAAACGAATAATATTGTGGTAATCTATGCCCGCATTAATGTACCTAATACTACAATACTTGCATGCGTCAACGTAAACTAAAACGACCAAAAACGCTTAGTATTATAAATAAGCGAAATTATTCGTTTTGAGGACATCGTGGAGTATTTTCATGGTGTGTTAATGAAATTAAATAATATATTACAATTAATTTCTTGGTATCAGTTGGATATTTAAATTTATAATTTTAATGCTAATTAACCATTTTTAACCTTCGAGAACGCCAAACTAACAATTTGTAATACATATGGAAATCTAACATTAAATCAATACAACCTTTATAATTCACACATTCGATAACTTTTAAATTACTTTATTAATTAGATTCCTTTTAACTTAATAGGAGAAGCTGAACTAAACTTGGTTAGTTAAGTAATTTTATTTTATTCAAGTTTAGTCTTGTAAACTATATTGTTTTTATTATTTGTTATTGTTTTTTTGTTTTTTTTAACTTAAATTTATTTGATTGTCCATTATAGCTTTGACAGCATAGACTTTGCAAATGTAAACATTAAATATATAAATTCGATACAATAATAATGAATTATAACTATTTAATTATTAAATTTTTTTCTCTATTTGTAAGGCTAATATTGCGTTGTATTTTTGTTTGGTGGCTTTTGATACTGCTTGTCCGTTTATTTTGCAAATGCCCTGCTGTTTAAATGAATTAGACATTCTTGTTTTTTTAAATTTTTTTACTCGGTTTATAATGTCGGTGACAATGTCGTTGGTATTCAATATATATAAGATAATGTATATGGTGCTTAAAGAGTCGGTAAAAATAATGTAACTTTAATGTGAATAATTTTCAATAAGTTTAAGAACTGTTATTATGGCGATGGCTTTAGCAGTAAAGATTGAACATTTAGTTTGTCATTTATATGTTGTTTTTATTTTTATGTCGACTATAATTGCTATTCTTACTCCTTGCTCTCTTTTGATGGTGCCAGTTTATATGTCCTAACAAATTATTTTTGAGATCGTTGAAAAGGTTTTTAAACATTTCTGAAGTGGTTTTTTTTCTTGTTTTTTGCAAGTTCTAAGTTTATGTTGATTTTGGTAAACCATGGGAAAGGGGTTGCATCATTCTGTTTTTAATTGTCCTAATTTGTATTTTGTGATGATCTGTGTGATATATTCTGATATTTGTTTTTTGATATTATTTCTAGTTAGTCTTGCGGCAAAGTTTAGTGGTATTTATATTCTTCGGATCCAGAAAGAGGGTTCACTAGCTGTTTGATTTAAATATTCTTTCAACCGGGCTGGATTTAAATTTTTCTTTGTATTTAAATTCTATGTATATTATACTATTTTATAAAAAGCTGACTGGCGTTAATTCTAAAAATAAATACTTTAAATAATCAAAGTTTAGAACATACAAGTATTTATAAATTGATAGAAAATGTATTATGGTTATTAACAAACTGTACCTATAACTTATTGTACCCATAAAGTTTTGCTATGTTAAAGTGAAATTATTTATTCAATAATTTATTTTATTATTCACTCACAATTGTATGCCTAACTAAAATTACAAAATAGTGTGTTTATCTAACCTCAAAATATTTGGACAAACACTCATTGGTATAGTAATTGTTGGAATTTTTTTAGGAAATATTGCAAAAAAAAAAATTAGAATCAAATTAAACTATTAACCTAACCTAACTATTATATTTCAATATTTTTTTTAATTTAATGGAACAAACTGGTTTTTAAGCCATGTTAAATCTAGCTGAATATTGTATTGAATTAGAGTGTTATTTACTATCAATTAGTTATTTCACAAAATCTATTGAGTATTCATATTACCATATTATATAATGTATTTTTATTCATAGTATTCTACTATTCATTCGTACTAAATAATTAAAATTACATATTTATTATTATTCAGAAAGAAAAATACTGCGAAGCAGAGGTAATCACGCGGTTGTGCAGTGTCAAGTGTGTAGTTCGTCATTTGAGTAAACACTGGAATGGGATGTGTTAATTTTGAATTCAATGATATAACCATCGTATACAATGAAATATGTTTTTGAGCAAAGGATAGATGGTATAATGTGTTGGTAACAAGGTGATACCAAATAATTATTTTAATAATAGTATTAACATTAAAAAAAAAATGTTTATACTGAAAGCCTTTCTGTTAAATAAATTGGGATGGCAAAAACTGGAGTTATCGTAGAAAATAAAAACACATATTATCAAATATTGTGGTACACATATTTTAAAATAACGATTTTTTCAAAATTGTTGACAATAATATTTTAAACTTCCAAGGTCGTTTCCAGGATTTTCCAGTAGTACTGACACTTACTATTTTAATAAATACTTATAATTAATAATAAAAAAAAATTACTTGTTTGAAATTCGATTTGTATGTATCGCAGTACTCACTCTATAAAATTGTGTGTTTAGAATTATAAATTAAAAACTCAAAAAAATTATGACAATAACAGTTTTAAAAAATATCGTCTTGCAATGACACAATTCAAAGTTTAAAAGCAACAGTTAAAACTTTTCAAAATTACGAGTGTAGACCTCTAGACACTTAAACGGATCACCTCACATAATATTATACTATAATATTTCACATGATTTCATTTTTGTTGAATTCAATTATTCTTCTTACACATTAAACAATATTATCAATTAATACACAACGTTCATGTCAAATTTACTACCATACATATGTATCACTAAACATTTATAACCATGTAATGAATAAACGAACTGAATACCTGCAGGAGAGATAAACCACTAATGTTGCTCACCGCCACTAACTGAACTGAACTGCTCGTGCGTTTGAGCCTTCGTTTAGTTGCTGGACGATAACTGGTATCTAGTTACAATTTGTTATTTGTTTTATAGTTGTTTAAATTCATTTTATTTATTTTTTACACTGTATCACAATAAGCATAATTACTAAACGGTCATAAATGGTACGACAAAACAGTAGTAAGAATGTTTCAGTAGACTAATTTCGTAATATTGTGTATGTAACTGTGCAGTTTTTCCAATAGGTGTATATTATTTTTACACTATCGTCAAATTAAAAATAAATATAAGTCGTTAAAATGTTTAAAACTATTACTGTTAAAAATAGAAAATCAACTCGTGGCTTAAACGTATTCATGATTGTTTTATAAATTACAATAATAATATGCTTAAATTTTCACTTTCCTAAAATTATTATAATTGATTTTTTATTCGTTATGACTAATGGATTATTAAATAAATAATTATAAATATTATGTTTGAACTGTTACCTACATAAAATATATTATAATTTCTCAATACATGAGCAGTTTTGTGCTGAATTGTGTTAATGAAAGAATGACTAACTGACGGACAGATAATCAACGTATAAACCATAATAGTTAGATAATTTTTCAGTAGTATCATTTCACAATGTAAATAAACACTAAGATTGTATAGAGATGCTAAGAAGCAGCAATTTTAAGATTCACGAAGGAAGTAAAAACTTTTTTTTAATGATAAACGGTTGGCTACCATTGGCTTTGGGTTGTAATCTTAAATAGGTATCCATTTATAGTTTACAGTTTAACAAGGAATAAATAATTTAATAATGATTATCGATGAATGAGTTAATTTTGGATTTTTTTGTCCGTAAACACTTATTGACAACAAGTTATTGTATCACCAAAAATGTCAATATTAGTTTCAGTGGTTTCTGGAAGAAAATTTCCAAAGTAAAAAAATACATGCAATTTCAATATAACCAGGGAAAAAAATATGAAAAAAAGTTAAATTTTATGCAAAACCAGTACTATTTGGAAAAAATTAACTACATTTTTTTGGAGTAACTAAAAAACCAATAAGCTTAGATACTTGACATTTTCAACCAATGATTTATATTTACATTTTCTATACACTATAATATTTTTAATTTATTTCGACCATTTATATGCTATATAATATTATAGACATTTGATATTTTCGATTTTTTTTTTTTAGTTTTTTTTTTGTAAATTGAAAATAAACATTTTTTTCCACAGTAAAAAAGCCTTGAAAATTGAATGCAAGGTTTCTCATAGTTGTATATATTATCTCTTCCAATTAAAAAGATTAAAGATACATTTCACTTTTAATAAGTACAAATAATTATTAACATTTTTAATATTCATACTTAAGTTTTGAAAATGCAATACAAGGTTTAAAATTATTTCTTATTGTTGGAATTAAAAAAAAATACAAGATTGTAAATTCACAAATATTTTTACGAGTACCTGAAGTTTAATGGTTGAGAAATTAACGACTTTTTATTAAACGATTCCTTCATTCTGCTCTAATAAATACTCATAATTTTGGATAGATTAATTTTTCTCTCTAAACATATTTTATAATTTTAATTCTTACACATCGTGTAAATTTCTAAATATTTTGACTTTTTTGAGCCATGTGAAATTATTAAAATATTGAAATATTACCATGTATAATGTTTCGCTTGGTCGATAACTTGAAAATTTAATAGAAAATTCACCAGAAACTCGCAATAACTTGTAGTTTAAACTATTTAAAAAGATACATAGACAAGTTTATTTTGTACAAACATTCGAAATTCAAATGTTGACAAAATTTGTAAAAATCACGAAAACGTGCAAACTATTTGTTAGTTAAAAATTTATAAAATGTTCCATTTCAATGGCTTAAAAATGTAATACAAGGTTCATCATTAGTATTTAACACTGGGACCATAAAATGTAAAAAATATGTAAACACCGTTTATTTTTGTAGACGTTTTAAGTTGAAATTTGGTTGAATGTAGCTAATGATAAATAATAATAATAATAAATAATGATTGATTATGTTAAATGCAACTTAATAATACAATAAGTTGGTACTTGAATCTTTTAACGATTGTAGGTAAATTGTTATATTTTATACACACGATTTCATTTTCAAATACGCAATGTTTTCGGCAAAAATTAATTCAAATTACCGTATGGCGTATACCAAAAGTAAAGCGAATTATTTTGCAATATAATTAATATAATTAGTATGAGTACCCGGTCCGATTTTATGTATTATAATATTATGTGCTGTTTAGGCTTTTCGTATAAGATATTATTTTCAGTAATCGACGTACACGTTGTCACGTCCGCAATCCACCGCAGGTGATGGTTGCTTCCTTGACATGCCGTTGCATATTGTCCACGATCCTATAATAGTCGGATGGCCTGCTTAGGTGACTAAGTTAGTAAGTTAAACGTTAATCGATTTTCACTTGAGATGACTGACTTGCTAAACACATTAACACGGTTTTCGACTTGACACCTATTACATATGAAAAATCACTGGACATGCGACTAGCACTCAATCCGCCAAAGGCGAATTGCTCGGTCTGGTATCGTCTTACACCGGCGATGACACTTAAACACGGTTTTCGACTTCAAATCTTTTTAAAAATCTCGGAGGGGAGGGGGGGGGTCGTACTCGGCCGGTGATTGGTGGACACTCAAACTCGACTTTAAAACGTTCCCACCATCGAAACGAGATGGCTTAAGTGTCAATCGTTATCACAAATCACTTATCGCTTTAATCTTACGTGGTTTCGAAACCCTTATCAATTTCTCTAATGCATTGTATTTTCCATCTGACTGCACTCATGCCACTTGTATACACCGGTGCCATGATATAATGATTAGCATCGGCAGTGTAATCGATAGGTTAATTCAAATTAGATAATATGATTTGTTCTTGTGTGTAACGACCTAGTCTACATTACGTTTTATCGACTTAAAACTATTTTATAGGTAGCGTTGACACAGTTTCGATATGGTTTTCATTGAAGTTTTTCGGCAACACAAAAATAACAATATTGTTACAAATAATTCACACCATACGTTACCTGAAATATTTATTGTCAAGAAAACAAAATCAATTTGAAAAAAAAAAAATTAACTTGACTCCTTCTAGAAGTGAGGTAATTGCAGTTCGTTGATTTCACGTTAGTGTAAAAACTTTAAAGTTAATAAGACACAAGTTAAATTAACGGACACCTAACAGAGTGACTAGTTAGGCTGGAATAATAAAATAAAATAAAATAAACATTTTAACTTAAATTTAACTCGAAACTCGTTGATGCTCATCTTTAGTGATTATTTCGAATGTGCGCACATTATATTATTAATGTGTAGAATACGGCCGTGGAATATTAAATTGAAAAATATGTTGCCTTGGTCCATCGAACACTGTTTGACACTTTTTTTTAAAAATTAATTTAAAATCAAATTTAAGTGGAATGTATAAGAGTCAATAATATTAGATAGTGGTAATGAATTTAGACTAAATTGAACGTCTTAAAAAAATCAAACACCCAAATGTTCATTTCAATTCTTGGAACAAGTATTCTCTATAAAATTTATGAAATATACCTATATATAAATATTTATTATTTTTCTATCATGAACTCGGTTAATATCGAATCGTCTCAAAAAAAAAAACAATTCTTGGTTTATTAGGTATCATGAGTAAATGAATAATTCTGGTCGTTATTTACTTGGCGTACTTTCTCGTTCACCATATTAAGATAATTTAATGATTTAATCGTGATGTGTGTTTATTTCTTTATGTTGTGTATGTCATCATTTTTTGGGGGCAGTAAAGAAGCTTTGATTTTCAACTTCAGCATCTTTTCTTCATAAGGAAATTTTATATAGTTGGTATTTTGGTTAGTCAAAAGTAAAAATTCTTAGTAGTTTTAAAAAGCTTCGGGGAAAAACAAAACTAAATTAAGCATAAAACAGGGAGTCAGGGAAAACCAGTTATTGACAAATTCTATTTATTTTTTTTTACTGTAATTTAAAAACTAATTATTGTAGATACTTTGCAGAATTTTCACCAAAAGCTTAAATGATAATTTTCAACATATTATGATGCAATTTAAAAAATATTTTGACTTGTTTTGAGCTTTTTATAAACATTAAAAAGAATTTTTAAATTTTAAATTTTCAAAAATAAATTGTTTTTATCGGGTTAAAAAACTTGAACATTCAGTGCAAAGTTCTTCATAAGTTCTTATAAGATGGAAACTTTAAAAGAAAAATAGGCATTCAATGTTACGTATAAATATAATAAAATTATCATCATCATATCTATCTAAATTAAACCATTACATCGATTTGCGTTTATTAAAACCAACTTTGTGCGAATAGATTAAACGAATCGTTGTAAGACAGTTATAATACGCATTAGTGTTTTACGATTTTTAATTTTCAAGTTACCTACTATAATAGTAAACCTAAATATAGCTATTATGGATGGTATACGTGTAGCAATATAAATAATTAGTTCTAAATATATTATATGCCAGTTGGCATGAAAAATTAATTAATTTAATGGTTCAATAAAATTTAATGGATCAATCATAAGCCACTAAATCATTGTTTTTTTGGAACCATTAGCTCACTTTTGATTCATCAAATGTTTAGTGATCGTTCATTCAACTCGGCACAAGTGTACCTTAAGAGATTAAAACAGAAACACCTATTTTCTTCCAATAGTATTAATATTACTATCTACTAATCAGCAAGATTATTAAATTAATATTAGAATAAAACAAGGCCAATATTAAAATAGTCCAAAATAACATTGTGCCACTTTAGGTCATTATGTAGCTAGGAATCATATAAAATGCTCATATAGTAAAGTTGTGTTACAATTATGGAATATATTTATAAACTAGCAGCTATTATAATAGCATTATCAATCA